CTTATTCGTATTTTATGACTCAGTTGCGGTCATCTTTCGATTTATTGCAAGTACTTTTCAACTGAGTTTGATTACAATCATAACAAACTCTAAACTGAATTCGTTTGCGACAAAAATACTTACTATAATAGTTATATGTCCTAATTAATTGTAGTCATGTGCATTTGGTTACGTTTTCCAAATTGAAACTCCGCCAAGCCATTTGCGATCATTTATTTTATCATAACATCTAATATTGGCTGCGCATTTGTCATCTACAATTTTGTAATGCCTCCAAATTTAAATAAACCCAGATAAATGTGATTAAATGTTCATCATCAATGTACACAACCATGAAAACATATATATTGTCTTAACGTAATAAGATGCAGAATGTACATCAGGAAATGAAAAAACAAAAAAAAAAGAATCAAAATTGCCAAAGCAGAAGAAGAGAAACACAAAAGAATAGGGAAAAATGGGAATATTGAAGTTTGGAGGAGTCAGAAGTGAAGACATCGGATAACCACGTCGAAAAAGGCGACGATGAGCTTTCGGCCAATCCACCGCTCTCTCTCCACCCATTCGCTTCCGATTTTTGGCTGTAAAACATTCCAACTTTTATCAGTAAAATGAACAATAATAAATTTGTGCTTACGCGTTTGATACTAGTGGTAGGCCTCTTGTACGTTTTAAATAACCTTTTTGTTTCCTTTCTTTGATGGACTCACTCCTTTATTACGTGGAAAAATAAAAGAAGAATCAAGCTCCTTTTCAGAATGGTTCAACCCAATCACAATACTTTGCTAGCTAAGCTCGTCGTGTGCATGCGAAAAAGCAAGTGTGAAAAAATCAAAAAAAATTTATAATAAGGAAACCTACCTAGGCAAGGAAGGGCAAAGGGTTATGGTATAATCTGCAGCAGTACACGTAAAAGTACTTGTTGGGTCGTCGAACGCGTAGCTATATGATCTTGGACACGCCGATTTGAATATCTCTGAGTACATGGACGGCTTACATTCGGTGGGTGAAGCGTACGCGCCACTGCAACAGTACTCTGGACTTCCAAACGCCTCGCATGCGCTCTTGCATGCTGACCCGGATTCGAACCGGAGCTCCGATGGGCATTTTTGGTTTAGATCCGTTACGCATCCCGTTGTCAGGCAGCTACCTTCTGACCCGCCACTCGCTTCCACCACCATCGGAACGTTGTACCCGTCCACTAGGCTCACGTCGTAGAAATCTTGTTTCCGGGTTGGGTCCTCGGGGCCTGACCCGATAGTGAATTCCGCCAGTGTAGCTGGTGGTTTCGCTCCCTTGCCGTTACACTCGACTTGATTAGAGCCGCAGTCGCCGGTCAAGCACGTGCCTTGGCCCGTATCCGAGGCGAAGTTGCAACCTGTTCTAGCCCAAAACCGTCCCGACCAGCTAGCAGGAGCTTGAAACGAACGCGAACCACCGGAGACGAGCTCGAAACCGGTACTTCCTATGCTGCCGCTTCCGGAGTTAGACAAAATTCCCGGCCACACAGTGAAGCTGCATCGGTTTACGAGGGTGATTGTAGCACCATTACTTCCTATGCAAGCCAAATGCAATGCTTTGTATATGTTAATGTACATTTTCAGTATATCGATTATCAGAAATAAATTTTGATAGATGTATATATGTATTAATATTACCGTGGAAGGAGAGAAAAGTAAGGATGATCAGATAGAATGAGACAGGAGGATGAAGAATTGTTTTGGTCATCACTGTTTTTTTTGTTCTTCTCTTTTCAAAAGAAAAGTATTTTGGGATAACAAAATGA